CGAAGCATCTCATTCAACGCTTTACATAGAAACGATGTCTCTTAAGATTAATGAAATCTATCATTAAATAACCTGCTTCTGGACATCAGGATCTTCTGCAGCATCTAATTACCATTCATTTATCATATCATCTATTGTAAGTATATCTTAAGTAAATCTCAAATCAACAAAGTGTATACTGAACAACTCTATTTTAAAAGGGCTAGTGCTTTAAAACGTTTCAATGTTTTCAAACCGTTATTAGCCATTTAAACACAAAAGCCATCTATCCTGCTCAGCATAAGGTGCGAGAGCGTTCAGAACGAAACATTTCCATAAAACGCTCCACAAAGAAAACATAATAAATTAATTCTAAATGAACATCAGCAGCGTCCAAATTCCGCGGCCCATGCAATATAACTTGAACCTAAACTATTTCAGGAAAATGTTTCAACCAATAACCAAGAAAACAACTCCAAAACTATCAGCAAACTATGTGACATGCCAGTGTCTAACAACAGCAGCTAGGAAAGCGGTAAGTTGTCAAATCCAGACTTTTGGCGTTGTGTCCATTATTGCTCATTACACATAAATAAATAAGAGAAACTTAGGTTACCAGCAACTTCTTTCGTTTGTGCTTCAGAGCTATTAATCGAACAATATCACATACCTAATAGAAACTGTTACATTAAACACGGACTAGAGACCAATTTAAGGAAATAATACTTCTACAGCAACTAAGCATTGCAGCAATGTTTCTTACATTCTTTGCAAAAGATTACTCCGAATCGAACCCTCTATGTAGTCTCTTACTACCACTCGACAACCTCATATCAAATGATAAAAAAAACCGTACATAAACAATTTCGTATCGCCAACAGGTTGACATTTCTAGAGAATATGCAAGTTATTACGAAGCCAACACTCTGGCAAAAAACTCTGCTGTAGCTGGATCTGCTATGTTATATCCTACTTCGCTCAATTTGACATCCATGATATAAGTAAGAGAGTAAATTTACATGAACAAGGACTAGATGAATTTTTATCTACAGCTGCAGATAGCATGCTTCAACAAACAAAATTAGAAAATTCCAACGGAGAGCGTGAAAAATAATTTTACATTGCAAAAACAAATGATACATTTTGAAGTGTAAGCAACTTACAATTCGTTCGTAAAACAAGCGTCGCCTTTCAGCCCTTTTCTTGTGGTCAATCATGATTGATCGAATTTTCTTTTCTTGCTTACGCGCTTCAAACCACATCCTTTAAAATTGATTAAGGCTAAAAAATGTTATAACATCGAACTGGTACAGAATTGATGCGCTTGAGAACGCTGTGAAAAATAAAAACGAAGAGCTGCAAAAGAACAGTATTTAATTCGAGCAGAAATACATCAGAAGCAGAAGTCGTTATCGTTTGCACGACTCCTAGCCTTTGTGTAGCAGAGATAAATATCTGGTCTGTAGCTGCATCGATATCCAACCGTTGACCGATTCGCCGTACATGCAT